ACAGCCATCATGTTGTTAATTTCAGTGTTGTCATTTAGCAGACTGTAGCAGTGATCGTTAGTTTACCTAACTTGTCTCGCTGGGTGAACAGAACCATGGCTCTCTGCCAGATAGGGGATTCAAGCAGTCTGAGCTGGGCCTCCATGGCCCACCACTGCTGCTGGCCAAATGTTCTGAAGGTGGGCAGCACCAGTAGGATGACATGTGGTCCTGGGTGGCAGAGAGTCAGACTTCTGACAAGTTCCCGTGACACCCAATTTGGAGTAGAGCAATGGGACAGCCAGCCTGGTGTGTCCACCACAGTTACCTGCTGCAAGAATTTCAGACAAAATGAGTGAAGATGAGATTTAGTTCAAGTGGGTAAAGAAACGCAGTGTAAGCCTGGTCATTTGCCTGCATTCCAAAGACTTTGCCACTCTTCTTGCTGGTACAGGTGGTTTTCCTATGAAAGGCTTGTGTACAGAGGATGGTGTTTCCTGCTGAGCTCTTCCCACTTCCCTGCTCACCCAGTAACAGCAAAACCAGTTCTGACTGAGTTGACTTGGGAGCTGAAAAACAATCGTCATCTCTAATTTGTGCACTCATATCAAATAAAAACTGTTAAAACAACTTACCACACAAGGCGGCCATGTGAGGGTTAGAGGCTTTTATTGTTGAATAAATTTTCCACTGAAGTCTGAGCTTTCCCCTCTTTTATTTCCAGTTGTACATTTCAACTGTGGCAGTGAGTTTTGTTCTGTGGAACTGAATGACTCAAAGCTTTTATAGCACGTCAACATTATTGGTTCCAAGGTTCACAGGCAGAGTTCTTAGGAAGTATCTTTGGTCCATAAATAAAGAAGAGTCAGGAGCTTGCTCAGGGTGTGAGTTACACCCAAAAATAGCAAAGTATAAAGTATAAAAGAAACAGTAGATATGCATCTAAGATACGCTGTCACGATTGGGTTTTTGGATTTAAAATAGCCAGACACAGGAGTGCAAAAACAAGAACAATTTTTATTATTGGCTGTGGGTGAGAAGTCAGGATCAGCCGTGTTAACAGGTCCTCACAGGTTGTAGGGAGAGAGTCACCTGTCAGCAATGATGTCACTGGCAGAGCAGCTGCAGTTGTATGTGGTTTGTGGGGTGGTAAGTCCAACAGCAGG